TGGGGACGCGGCCCCCGGCCCGCTGCCCGCACACGGCCCCGGCCCCGGCCCCGGCGCGATGCTCCCGCTGCTCCTGCTGCTGCTGCGGATGGCGCCAAGCGACGGTCTCAGTGAGCTGGGCGCGGGCAGGGGGACAGGGACGGGGTGGGTGACGCCGCGGGGGTTTGCACCATGCCGGCGTGCGCGGCTGGCCGTGCTCCGCATGTCCCGCCATGGAGCTATCCAGGCTGCAATGTGCGCGGACACTGGGAATGACCCCAGCTCCGGGTGTCTCCGTCATGGACAGACGGACCCAACCCACAGCCCGGGCGCTACCGCAGGGCTCGGGTCGCCTGGGGACACCCCCGCTCAGGTGACACACTGGTCTGGACAAGTCCTGTGCCCAGGTTTGCTAACCTGGGGCACGGCATGGGGGTCTCATGGGAGGAGCGCTCCATGGCTGGTGCCGTGGCGGGTCCCGGGGTGTCTGTGGTGCTGGCGGGAGCCAAGAGGCCGCCAGGGCCGCTCGGAGCCGCTCCCTGCTGGAGCGGGCCCCGGGGGCTCGGCCGTGCCGCGGGGCCGGCGCTCAGCGGCCCCTTTCTCGCCGCAGCCCACGTGGGCTACATGCCGGAGCTCACGCAGCGCCCGCTGGCCGCCCGGGTGACCACGTCCACCTTCGTCCTGGAGCAGCCCCGCTGCATCTTCACCAACACCTCCAGCGACCTGATGATCTGGCTGGTGGTGGCGCTGGATGAGGGTAGGTGGCACCGGGGCGGGTGCCGCGGGGCGCTGCGGGCGCCCTCCTCACCCGCCGTCCCGCAGCCACGGGGCAGTTTGACCCCCGCACGCAGCCGGAGACGCCGCCGCTGGCCTTCCAGACGTTCCCCAACAACACGGCGTACGCCACGCTGGGCACCAGCGTCGCCAACTACCCCTGCCCCGCGCCCACCTCGCGGGACATCACGGTGCTGCGCGTGGGCAGCGAAACTGCCTGCAGACTCAACGCGAGCAGGCCCAGCTGCAACGGGCCCCTGCCAGGGCCCGGGCCCTACCGGTGAGGCTGGCACCGGGGGGACGTGCGGCCGCGCGCAGCGACGGCGCCGGGGGCACCCAGGGCTGCCGCCGCCACCGCTCAGCCCCTGCTGCTCCCCAGGGTGAAGTTTGTTGCCTGGAAAAGCTCTCAACTCGAGGCTGAGACGGAGTGGTCTGAGCCCATCACCCTGCTCAGAGGTACCGCAGGCGGCCTGAAGCGCCGGCACCGCTCGCGGCCCGGCAGCGGCACGGAGCACACGGGGCGGCTGCACGGGGAAACTGCGCAGGGTGGTCGCGCAGGGGGGCTGCAGAGGGTGGTTGCACGTGCGATTGAGCAGGGTGGTCGCACAAGGAGACTGCGCAGGGGGTTGCACATTTGGTAGCACAAGGGGTTGCACGGGGGGTTGCATGTTTGATCGTGCAGGGTGGTTGCACATTTGATAGCACAGCGGGGTTGCAGGCACAGATTAAATGATCCCTGGGCCAGGCTCCTTCTCCTGCCCGGCCCCCTTCCTGCCCTCCGGTCTCCCCTTGCAGCCCAACCAGCCCACATGGTCCCTGTGACACCGAGCGGGCGCAGCGCCGGCATGATCGTCCTCACCTCCATCCTCTCCATCCTCTTCGCTGTCCTGCTGGCCTGCCTGGTGGCCCTGCTGGTCACCTGGTGGTGAGTGCCACCCCGGCCTCCTTGTCCTGCCGTGCCCCCGGCCCGTCCTCATCCGCCGTCCCTTCCCAGCTCCGAGGCGTGGGGCAGCAGCAGCGTGTTCAGCACCAAGGCGGACGCCGTGTCGGTGCGGCGCTACAACACGCACCACGTCTACGACCAGCCGGCCGCCCGCCTCTGAGCGCCGCCGGGGGCCGGCGGGCGCCAGGGCGGCATCCCGGACGGAGCGGGTCCGGGCGCTCCCACGTGCCCGCTCCGAGCCCCGCGTTCCGCCCCGCCGCTCGCGGAGACGCCGGCAGGGCCCCGCGGGGCGCCCCGCACGAGGCCGCGCGCACCAGAAGCACAATAATAAAAAGCTGCTACCTGACAAGGAAAACGCCAAAGAGTTTGGCGAAAAGCTGCTTTTCTGGCTCTCGTCCCCGGGTGTCATTTAAAATGGGTAGGAAATGGTGCGATTCCTGACCCGTTTTCCCACTTCCTGCTCCCTCTTCTGTGGTACTGTCCCGTGGGGATTCTGATGTCCACCAGTGACGCTGACGTTCCTCACACGTCCATGAGATGGCGAGAAGGGCCTGGCACCCGTCCCGGTCCCGTGGCGCAGCCTGGAGTGCCCAGTTCCCATGGGTGCCCGGTTCCCACCACCGGGGCTGGGTGCCCGGTGCCCACAAGCCGTTTTGGGCACCTGGCTCCCTAGGGTGGGGTTTGGTGCCCAGGTCCCGTGGGTGTTTCTGGGTGCCTGGATCAGTGCCTGGTTCCCCCCAGTGTTTTGGGGTCCTGGGGTGGCTCAGATGCAAGCAAGGCATCTACGTGTATATATATATATATATATATGTGTGTATGTATGTATGTGTGTATATGTATATATATGTGTGTACATATATGTATATGTATAGATGTGTGTGTATGTGTGTATATATGTATATAGGCTTGTATACATATACATATACATATACGTATACATATACATATACATATATATATACATATACATATACATGTACAAACCCAACATTTATTTTTCCTCTAGGCTGTTTGCGAAGGGCACCGGGATGGTGGAAGCAGCTCCATGCATCCCACTATATTTACACCACATCCATATTCATGTCTTATCCATATTCATAGCACCCTTATCCCCTGCTGGGGTATCATTACTGTTCCTTGGGGTGGGTTTTTATCCCGCTTTTCATCCCCAAATGAGGATGTGCTGCAAAAACAGGGCCCGGTGCCGCATGCAGCAGCTGGGACCGAGGGGGTTTAATCCCCAGGGCCTGGCGCGGCTCTGGTAGGATCGTGATGGAGAGGGCGGCTCCTGCAGCCAAATCCCTGCTGCATCCCGACCTGGGGAGCTTGGCCCGGAAGGGCCCGATGCCGGAATTGCCCTCAGTGACGCGGAGCCAAAAAAGCAGGAAATCTGGCAAGGAGCGCCACGGGGGCTGTGGGGCAGGCGGGAGCCCCACGGGGGACGTCTCTGCGACGCCTCCGCCCTGCCGGCGCTGCGGAGAGGAGGGATTAACGGACAAATAACTGCGGATAATCCCAGCTGGAGCGGGCGGCTGTTCCCTGCTCCGGCACATCAGGACTCGCACCCCGCGCCTGCCAACACCCCAAAGCCGCCGAGGAGGCGGCTGGGGCGGCGGGCGCCGTCCCGCGGGCGCTCCCGGGCAGCGGGGCCGGCCGTGGGCGAATCCCGGCACAGCTCCGGAGCCGCCGCGCGGGCACCGCGACCCCTCGCAAATGCCAAGGTCCCCGGGCCCGGCGGCGACGGGAGCGCCCGGATCGGCTTTCCGGGCACTGCTCCGCGGGGTTTCCCGGGAGGGTTTGCCAGGCCGTGTGGCTGGATGTGGGAATGCCGGCATCCCGGCTGGGACCGGCCCTGGGGAAGCGGGAGAAGGGCCCCACACGGCCCCGGGCAAACCGGAGCAGCGGGAGGGCTCCGCCCACGGCTGCGCCGCTGGGAGGGCCCTTTTTTTGTTGCATTTTGGTGTTTTTTGTTTATTTGGTTGTTTTAATGCACTGGCTCTGTCCGCGCTCCCCCTTGCGCCTGAGCAGGGCACCCGATGGGGACTGGGGTGGGAAGCGACAGCTCCCCCATCCCCCAGGGCTGCCGCCACCTTCAGGTCCCCCCTCAGCCGGAATTCCCATGGGGATGGGACAGGATTCCCGTGGGATCTAGTTAGGATTCCTGCGGGAATGGGACAGGATTCCCTTGGGAATGGGACCACCAACCAGAGCAGTGCGAGGTGTCCCCGGCCCCATGAGACCCACGGCAACAACGCGGGGTGTCCCGCAGAGTCCGGTGCAGCAGGATGGGGTGTCCCTGTCCCCCCGAGCCCCTTGACAACAGGGGTGTCCCACAGGGTCCGGTGCAGCAGGATGGGGTGTCCCTGTCCCCCCGAGCCCCTTGACAACAGGGGTGTCCCACAGGGTCCGGTGCAGCAGGACGGGGTGTCCCTGTCCCCCCGAGCCCCTTGACAACAGGGGTGTCCCRCAGGGTCCGGTGCAGCAGGATGGGGTGTCCCTGTCCCCCCGAGCCCCTTGACAACAGGGGTGTCCCACAGGGTCCGGTGCAGCAGGATGGGGTGTCCCTGTCCCCCCGAGCCCCTTGACAACAGGGGTGTCCCACAGGGTCCGGTGCAGCAGGAYGGGGTGTCCCTGTCCCCCCGAGCCCCTTGACAACAGGGGTGTCCCACAGGGTCCGGTGCAGCAGGAYGGGGTGTCCCTGTCCCCCCGAGCCCCTTGACAACAGGGGTGTCCCACAGGGTCCGGTGCAGCAGGAYGGGGTGTCCCTGTCCCCCCGAGCCCCTTGACAACAGGGGTGTCCCRCAGGGTCCGGTGCAGCAGGAYGGGGTGTCCCTGTCCCCCCGAGCCCCTTGACAACAGGGGTGTCCCACAGGGTCCGGTGCAGCAGGAYGGGGTGTCCCTGTCCCCGTGAGCCCCACGGCTGCGTGGGGTGACCTGTGAGACCCCCAGTGCCGTGGGCAGCTCCCCATAGCCCCCCAGTAGAGACCCAGGGTCCCCACCGGTCACTGCGGGACCCTCCAGCAGCGCGGGGATCCCCCGTCACTTGGGGGTCCCGCCCCACGGGAGCCCCGATCCCACTGAGGCCCCGCCCCCAGATGGGCGTGTCTTCGCCTTCGCCCCGCCCCCATCTCCCCGCGGCC